GAACAAGGATACAAAAATCCCCAGAGGGGAAGCCAAACTAAAGCACCCCGCCCACATGGGGCCCCAGCCACACATCCCGCACAGCACCACAGGGAGGTCCCAGCCTCCCGGGCCGTGGGGGAGGGCGGGTGCTGGGGGCAGCAACACTCCACCCCCCCAGTAGGCCCACGGTAGGCATTCTGCGGGTGGAATGTGGGCGGGGCCAGGCTGGCGGTTTCGGAAGGCAACGCCTCCCCCTGCCTAGCATACGCACCACCCCTGGATTGAACTGTGAATGTTCAGTCAACAGAGAAAGGGATCAGACTTGGAAATCAAAGCTGACTCTGCAGCTGTAGAAAACCATATGCTAGGGGGATGGATAGATTTGTGTTATCCCTTGAGATTTAGTGGGGACTCTGCAGTACACAGGCAGTCAGGCCTGGGATAAGACACGTTTGAAAGTATCCCATTCACTAGTCCCCTGCATATCCACAGATATCCGCTTTATATCCGCAGGTATCCGCATCCACAGATGCGGGTGCAGATATCCGCGGGTCATTTATGCGGATACAAAACTGTGCCGTGGCATTAGCGCAGGAATCTACCATTCGTGCCTTATCATGTGCCGTTACTATAGGGCTGTGTCTAGACTGGCAAGTTTTTCTGCAAAAGCAGCTGCTTTTGTGGAAAAGCTTACCAGCTGTCAAACTGGCCCCTTGAATTTCCTCAGAAGCACTGACTTCCTACTGTCTGAAATCAGTGCTGCTTGCGGAAATACTATGCTGCTCCCGTTCAGGCAAAAGTCCCTTTTGTGCAAAGCTTTTGCGCAAAAGGGCCAGTGTAGACAGCTCAGATTTGTTTTGCGCAAAAAAGCCCCGATGGCGTGATGGACTTAACCTCCATGAATTTATCCAGTTCTCTTTTAAACCCTGTTATAGTCCTAGGCTACGTCTAGACTGGCATGATTTTCCGCAAATGCTTTTAACGGAAAACTTTTCCGTTAAAAGCATTTGCGGAAAATCATGCCAGTCTAGACGTAGCCTAGGACTATAACAGGGTTTAAAAGAGAACTGGATAAATTCATGGAGGTTAAGTCCATCAATGGCGATTAGCCAGTCTGGGTAAGGAATGGTGTCTCTCTCTGTTTGTCAGAGGGTGGAGATGGATGGCAGGAGAGAGATCACTTGATCATTACCTGTTCGATTCACTCCCGCTGGGATACCTGGAATTGGCCACTGTCGGCAGACAGGATACTGTGCTGGATGGACCTTTGGTCTGACCCCGTCTGGCCGTTCTTATGTTACTAATGACAAGGTGGCCCACTGATAACAAGCAATAGGAAGCCAGCCCTGTGCTCAGACACGCTACCACTCCCCAGTGGAAATAACCCGGGCTACGTCTGGCTTTATTTTGTAGCATTAAATCCATGAGCGACGTCTACTCAGCATTACCAGCCAAGAGGCGGCAAGATGTCTACGGCTTTCAGAAGACCTACCTGAACGCACAGTTCGCAGACTCAGGTAAGACACTGGCCGAGTGGGGGGAAGTTACGGCGTCTGGAGGTCATGCTTGAAAGTGAGATCGCTAATCAAGCTTGCACTGGGAGGAATGACCCTTTCTCGGACACTGCGGCTTGTCTGTGATCAGGTAGATGGTCTGTGGTTTAACCCTTTGTACTTGAAACTTTTCAGGCTCCGCCTGCGAGGATGGAACCAACGGGACCAGAGATTGGCTGCAAAAAAACATCGGCAGTTTCTGTTCGGTGGCTAAATTAAGTGAACTTCAGACCTTTTACCCAGACATTGATGGAGTAAGTTTTTCTAATCAGTGTGCTGTGGCATAGTCAAATAACAACTGTCTCCCAAGCAATCATGGGCGCTTTACGGCACCTGGGGAAACATTTAGATTTTTAAGGAAGATGATTTTTCCCCCCCTTTTCTTGGGCTCTCTTGGCTTTTCCAGAATGGCTACAGCTCCTATAGCAGGGATCAGCTTGGGCTGGGGGAAGAGCTAACGATCCTCCATGTGTAATATGAGAAGTGACGTTGTCTTCCTGGCCGCTTGCCTTTTTCTTCAAGACCTGTTTCTGATCAAAGATAAGAGTGAATGCCCTAAGTTATCAGAACATTTTCAGCTAGACCAATGGCCACACTTGCATCCAGGCTTCCCTCTAATTTTTTCCATCAATGGGCGGAATGACTTTTGCTACGTGCACCGAGCCATGTGTGAATGTGCACCACCAGGAGAAATAGCTACTGCTGACTGTGGGTGCTCTGCTAATCAGCTTGGGTGGCACCTGAATCTCTCAGCCGCCCAAGCGCTCAGCTTACAGGGAACGCTGCTTGCATCATAACTATGATCTTTGCCTAGAGATAGGGAGGTTTAGTCTATTTATTAGAGAGCCCCTTTAAATCAAACTGGTTTACTCATTTGGACTCTGCCATTCCTTTTTGCCTCACGCACGCTTCAAATGATAGCTTGTCTTTGAAAGCTACTAGCTGTTGGTTTTATTCGAGTATCAAACACGTCTGACCCCGTCTGGCCGTTCTTATGTTACTAATGACAAGGTGGCCCACTGATAACAAGCAATAGGAAGCCAGCCCTGTGCTCAGACACGCTACCACTCCCCAGTGGAAATAACCCGGGCTACGTCTGGCTTTATTTTGTAGCATTAAATCCATGAGCGACGTCTACTCAGCATTACCAGCCAAGAGGCGGCAAGATGTCTACGGCTTTCAGAAGACCTACCTGAACGCACAGTTCGCAGACTCAGGTAAGACACTGGCCGAGTGGGGGGAAGTTACGGCGTCTGGAGGTCATGCTTGAAAGTGAGATCGCTAATCAAGCTTGCACTGGGAGGAATGACCCTTTCTCGGACACTGCGGCTTGTCTGTGATCAGGTAGATGGTCTGTGGTTTAACCCTTTGTACTTGAAACTTTTCAGGCTCCGCCTGCGAGGATGGAACCAACGGGACCAGAGATTGGCTGCAAAAAAACATCGGCAGTTTCTGTTCGGTGGCTAAATTAAGTGAACTTCAGACCTTTTACCCAGACATTGATGGAGTAAGTTTTTCTAATCAGTGTGCTGTGGCATAGTCAAATAACAACTGTCTCCCAAGCAATCATGGGCGCTTTACGGCACCTGGGGAAACATTCAGATTTTTAAGGAAGATGATTTTTCCCCCCCTTTTCTTGGGCTCTCTTGGCTTTTCCAGAATGGCTACAGCTCCTATAGCAGGGATCAGCTTGGGCTGGGGGAAGAGCTAACGATCCTCCATGTGTAATATGAGAAGTGACGTTGTCTTCCTGGCCGCTTGCCTTTTTCTTCAAGACCTGTTTCTGATCAAAGATAAGAGTGAATGCCCTAAGTTATCAGAACATTTTCAGCTAGACCAATGGCCACACTTGCATCCAGGCTTCCCTCTAATTTTTTCCATCAATGGGCGGAATGACTTTTGCTACGTGCACCGAGCCATGTGTGAATGTGCACCACCAGGAGAAATAGCTACTGCTGACTGTGGGTGCTCTGCTAATCAGCTTGGGTGGCACCTGAATCTCTCAGCCGCCCAAGCGCTCAGCTTACAGGGAACGCTGCTTGCATCATAACTATGATCTTTGCCTAGAGATAGGGAGGTTTAGTCTATTTATTAGAGAGCCCCTTTAAATCAAACTGGTTTACTCATTTGGACTCTGCCATTCCTTTTTGCCTCACGCACGCTTCAAATGATAGCTTGTCTTTGAAAGCTACTAGCTGTTGGTTTTATTCGAGTATCAAACACACACACACGTTGCTCCAGTTGGCAAGATAACCATCTTCAGTTTTTGTCCTACGTTTAGTCTAATCAGTAGCAATGGGTTTGATACCATGAGCAGTTCCCACCTAATTCGTTCCATGGAAAGTAATTGTTAAGTTGTTGACAGCACAATGCCAAAATTATCACTATGGCAAGTGTACATGTGTTAAAAAAATATGTGACCAACAGTAACAAAGATTAATCCAACAGTATCCGATCAGAATAATCTTGGATGGAAGCATATTCTTACTTAACTATAACCAGGCAGTTGGTTTTAAAGACAGAAATTATAGTCCTGGAATAGTTTAGAAGTCTGACTTTATTAGCAGAATTAATGGATTTAGTATCATGTGAAAAGCGAGGATTTTAAGTGACCTCATCATATGATTCTTTTCAAGACTATGCATACCTGTAATACACCTGAAATGACGTTTATCCTTGAATTGTACCCCGGCTCTGTAAACCAGTGCTAACATTCATGGGAATGTCCATTTTGTTTCTAAACCATTTTATTCTGTGTGATTGTATCTGTCTGCTCATCAATAAACACTCATTTTAAAACAACTCATTTAGTATGTGTCATAATGTTTTAAAACATTCTTAATACACACCCCTGTACTGGTCGACAGTATTTAAAATTACTTGGACCTACCAGGTTGGTAGTGGTACAAAACCATAATGGCAAACTGGTTGCTACTGGTTGAACTAAACTAAGCATTTTTGTGACTCCTCATAATACGGATCGCAATTTGCCAGTTTCTTAAAAAAAAGAGACGTTACATCACACGATCACATGCCATTTTATTCATAACACACGACACAGGAATCCATATCTTTATATAAGGAGGATGTATTAATCACTAAAATGCTGCACTCTAATATCTTTAGCAATTTTTAAGCACCACCCATATTAGACTTTCACCACTTTGCATCAATTGATCTCTCTAACTGAAGTTGTTATAACTTCACAACACTGTTCAGTATGGCTATGTCTACATTGCACATTTATTTCGGAATTAGCTATTCCGGAATAGTTATTCTGAAATAGCTTATTTCAAAATAGCACGTCTATACTGCAGGGAAACCTCAAAATGAGTCGGAGGCAGGCTTCCCTAATGTAGACGTGCTATCTTGATGTCGAGCCCCAGAAGGCACTGGGGAGGGATAACTTAGAATGGCCCTGGTGAGGCGCTATTTCGAAATAGCAGAAGTGGAGCGTTTACACAGCCCCTATTCCGAAATAGTTTTTCAGTTAAGACTATATATAGACTAAGAGTAGTGAAATAGATTTTAGGTAACAGCAAAGATTCCATCCAAAAGGAAATTTGCAGTTCAGATCATCCCTAAAGAAAAAAAGGGGCGGAGTAAAACTCAGAGAAGATACCGCGTTTATTCCAGTGCAGAGAGGAATATTTAAATGAGGACCAGCAAAAGTTTTGACACATTCTCAGCTAAACAAGCACGATTTCGTACCTCCTAGCCCGTACAACGTATGTCATGGTGCATTGCTAACACACGTCACACAAGACTGGCACTGGGGAGAGTTGTCCTATCAAGCAGCCACCTCATCAGCTGCCAGTCTCTTATAGGGAAAGGCTTTGCATCAGTCCATGGCATTGCTCATAGTATAGGCAGGAAAAGGAACTGTGTAATTAGGTTTTGTTTGGCATATAGAAAACCAAATGAATACCATTTGGGAAGGCTGGGGCAGAAGCAGACCCTGTCTGGCCAGGCCATGGCCCAAGCCGTGGGAGGGGCAGGTGGCTGCCCTGCTCTTGCTATGGTGGCCCAGTCTTCCCCCCTGCCCCGGCCGCATTTGTGAGGGCGGGGAGGGAAATCAATCGCAGCCTTCCCCTGGGCAACGCACCACACCAGCCTTCCCCAGCTTGGCTGGAATTGGCCTCATCAGGGACTATAGAATGTGCGTTTGCACCTTTCATGCACCTCCCCTTCTTCCCCCAAGTACAGCCCTGCTATCTCATGTATTCAATCTGTGGAACTCCTTGCCGCAGGAGGTTGTGAAGGCTAGGACTATACCAGGGTTTAAAAGAGAACTAGATAAATTCATGGAGGTTAAGTCCATAAATGGCTATTAGCCAGGATGGGTAAGGAATGGTGTCCCCAGCCTGTTTGTCAGAGGGTGGAGATGGATGGCAGGAGAGAGATCGCTTGATCATCTGTTTGGTTCTCTCCCTCCGGGGTACCTGGCATTGGCCACTGTCGTCAGACAGGACACTGGACTAGATGGACCTTTGGTCTGACCCAGTATGGCCATTCTTACGTTCTTATGTATTAGTGATGTTACAGGAAAAGAAAACAACCCAGCTTGATTCTCAGATCCCAGGCTGAGTTGGCTATGTCAGCAGTTAGAAAAAGTCATCTTTTGTTTCCCCCTGAACCATGCGCGTTATGGATGGGAATCAAGGAGACGCAATAATGTGTCTCCACTGCCACGCAATAGTGTGTCTCCGCACTGCACTTTAACTGATCTAATGTGGGAAAGTGGGACTAGGAACGCCATCAAGCCTTTTGATTTGTTAGAGGAGAAATTGCTTCCTGCACCGGACACAGATCTTCAGCAACCATTCCCTCGGCTCTTTGTATTCCTGTAGAACTCACAATACGCTAAGGCTTCCATGCAAACACCCAAACGAGCACCTAATTCCTGCCCCGAGGAGCTTACAATCCAAGAAAACGATGTTCACGTGATGGGTGGGGTGAAAGGGACACAGTTAGAACACAGCCAATGTTTATAGACACTGGAGTGCTCTGGCGTTAGCAAATAATTCCACATCCCCTATGGCTAAAGGCCCCTCAGCTTAGCCATAATTCGTTGGCCAATTTCTTATCCGTGTCATGCAAGTAGGTCTTGAAGGTGGAGAGGGTGGTGTCCTCATGGAACATTTCTTTGAGAGCATCCAAGCTTAAGATGGCAGTGTGGAAACAGCAGCAGACACATGAGCAGTCAGGGCAGATCAGAGAGCACTGGAAGAGAGAAAATAGACACGGTAGAGTAAACGGATGCTACCAACTTAGTGGGGAACTTTAGGGTCTGATTGCTGATGAGGGAGAACCACTCTTTGCCGGTGCCAAAATGTCACTGAGTGATATTGATACCCTGTTTTTTGTGACATTGATACCTTTGGGGGAAATAATAACAAAGCCCCAACTCTCTGACAGTTGCCTGTTCTTAAGGGTGTTACTTTAGAACTGACCCTCCTTCAGACCTCCAGAAACAGAGATGGGAGGGGGAAACACTAAATGAAATCAGTCAGGGTCCGTCTACACTAGCCCCCTAGTTCGAACTAGGGAGGCTAATGAGGGCGACCAAAATTGCTAAAGAAGAGCAGCATTTAAATCTCCCGCGCTTGATTAGAATATTCCCGGCCGGTCACCATTTTGGAAACTGACTAGCCCAAAGTAACTGCCCGTGTCTACATGCGGCAGAGAAGCGGGATTCTGAGATTAAACCCCTTAGTTCAAATTAACTGTTACTTCCTCCTTAGGCCCATAATTTCTGCTAGAGTTAGACTGTAGCTTTTGGAAAGCCTCCCTGTCTTGCTGGGAAGAAATCAGTGCGATCATACAGTTTCGCGACATGTCCTCTGTCCTTTCACTTCACCGTGACCCTAATGAAATCGAATGAAGGCCGTTTGTAAACAGTGTAATGCTATCTCCAATGTCTGGCTCTCAAATATGTAGATTGACGTCATTGCTACTGCACATCTCGATGATGTGGCAGAGTTTTTGACCAAACCAGAGGTCATCGCTAACAACACCACGGTGGAGAAGATTGTCCAGTTAATTCCGCTTGAAGACATTGCTCATTTCCTGAATGCTGCCATGTCTGCTGTTCGAAAGGTATTAACTGATTCCAGGATTCACATTTTGAATTACTTAGTTCCTCCATAGCCTAAAACGACAGAATAGTTAATGCAGAACGACTACTTTTCTTCTGTCTTATGGTCACACCGTATTTCACCATTACATATGACTACACGTTGAACCTCTCTGATCCGGCAACATCCATGGTCCGGCATGATTTGCGTGAGCCAGATGGTCACTTATCACGGGTGTGGCTAAGTTTCCCGTGGTCCCATAAAGTTTGTTTCCAGCCACCAGTCCTGGCTCTCAGTGTTCTGGGCTGTTCTTTAGCTCTAATTGACCCCGAAATGTCCTCTAACAGCCCAGCAAGCAGTGGAAGTGTTGGTCATGCTGCTAGATACTACTGACCTCCCATGGTTCGGCAAATTCTCTGGTCAGGTCCTGATGGTGCCGGATTAGAGAGGTCCAACCTGTATATATTGACCTGTAAATAACACACACGTGCACACCTACTCTACCAAGGAGCCTAGTGTCAGCCTGAGGGTGTCACACCAGGCCTGAGGTAGTGAAGTCCCCAAATCTGACTCAACCCCAGAAATCCAGGAATTTCCAGTGCAGCCCCACGGATCTTGCTATGGAGGGTTAGGGTTGGATGGGATGCAGGGAGCTTACATTATAGCCGACAAAATGATATAATAATACGGATATAGCATACACTGTGGAACTCTCTCAGAAGAAGAGCACGAATCCACACCTACGACCCAGGAGGGCTGGATTCCTGTTGGCTGGGACTGACTAACCTGGCTCTAAATTCTATGAGTCCAGAATTCATTTTAGCTCATGTTTAGGGCACGTTTGCAGGCCCCTTATGCAAATCTTACTCAGAGGTCAATGTGTGAGCTCACCTTTTGTGGGGGAGCCCGCAGTGAGCTGTATGGGGTCAGCTTAGGGTTGCCAGGTGTTCGGTATTTTCACCTCCTGTTTGGTAAAAAAAAATCAGAAAATACTGGACACCTAAAATGTCCGGTATTTTCTTTTTTTTTCCCTGCCAGGAGGCGAAAATACCAGACACTTGGCAACCCTACACATACTCAGCAACCAAGCCCAGCTCCTGCCCGTTCCCCTTCCCAGGCCCCCCGTTTACCTGGTTCCGCGGGGAAGCTGCCTTCTGGCTCCGATCAAGAAAAAAAGATGGCCGCCAACAAAAAGCCTAAAGTCCTTTCTTAAAGGGGCCATGCTGTTTTGTTTTGTTTTATTTGTTTTGCTTAACAACTTTGGTCTCCCCTCTTTTTTTTCCCTCAACAGAAATTTTCCCCGGTGTTTTTTTTTTTGGGGGGGGGGGTTTGGTATTTTTGGTTAAACCATCTGGCAGCCCTAGGTTAGCTTCAGGGGACCGGGCCTTCTATAAGTATAATAAGCATTTTACCAAATTCTCCTATCCATCAGTTTTCCTCAGCTGAGGACAGGACACAGACCTAGATGGGTCCCAGCTAGATGGGTCCTCTGGTCCAGGCTGGCAGACCCGAAATCATGTATCAAATTCAGCAGATTTCAGCTAACGGCAGTTCTCCCTGCTCTCAGCTCATAGGTTACCCTCCGCGTTTTCCGATGACACTTTCTTCTCTTCCTCCCGCGTCAGGCCAATCTGACAGACCCCCAGCTTACAGCACTGAGTCACATGCTCCTGACAGCTGTTTGGGACAAAGTTAGTTCTGGCTTCTCTAACTTCATGCCCCTGGAGTGGAGATATTTGTTTCAGGATTTACACTTCCTCCTTCCCAGCATCAATGCGACTCATCTTCAGCTCATCCCAACCAATATTAGCTGCTCCTCCTACCAGGAAATGTAAGTATCTGCCGGCCGTTATTCCAAACACAAAAACCCCGTTTTACACAAGATCTTTATGCCTCTCCAGGCAAAAACCCTTTGCCCAAAAACAAACGGCACAAAATATGCTAATGATGTTGCTACTTATGCTAATGAGTCACTCATTAGCATATTTTCTGCTGGAAAAACTCACAGTGAAGACAAAGCCTAACAGAATCTGGCAACCCTGTACCTGGGCAAAGGTAAACACACTGTCTCGTGGGCCTTGCATTGAACCCCAATGGGCCCCCCACAGGGTTACATTGACACATCGGTATGTGTTATCTCCTGCATTTTAAAATGCTCTGGGGCTGCTTACAGAAGTTGTTGCGCACTTCGAGGTGCTCGCAAAGGGAGATAGGGCAGAAACCAAAGAGCAGATCCATAATTTCCAGAAAGCGGAATGGGTGCAGGAAAGGACCTCTCGCAAGCTCTCTGCACCTCTGTCCAACCACCTCATCCATTCCCCAGCTGCAGAATGCAATGCCTTTTTTGTAAATGCTTTCACATTTCTTCCCCTTGCACCAGAGTGAAGGCCTTAAATATCCACTACCAGGATTACACGGTAGAGACGCAACAAGGCATTTACACCGTTCTCAAGAACTATCTCCTTCAGCCAGGTAATCGCCTTGTGAACTGTATCGTTAACCTGCGGAACTCTCTACTGCAGGATATTTTTGAGGCACGCCACTTACTCTTTTTTTTTAAATTCGACATTTAGAGAATAATAAAAAAAGCAAACGTTAGGACCATCATTGCAATGAGTAATCATCACTAGGCCTCATGTTTGAGTACCAGTGAAGGTCAGGAAGTAATTTCTCCCCAGGGAGAGCATTCATGAATGAAGTGTCTGACCATGGGCAGCGGGTATGCTAGGCAGGGAAAGGCATTACCTTCCCAAACTGCCAAACTGGCCTTGCCCACACTCCAGCCCCAGAACACCTCCTGCAGGCGTACTGGTGGGGGGGAGTGTTGTTGCCCCACAGTGCCCGCCATCCCTGAGCTCCAGGCCCAGGGAAGCTGGGGCCACATGCTGCCTGCTCTCCCCATGCTCTAGACCCTCCCCATATGCCCTCCTCCCTTGCTGTGCTCTGGGGCTGGCGAGGCTGCGGTCGCATGCCAGCCCACCTCCCTGTGATGCTGGGGGCGCAGTTTGGCTCCCATGGGGGCAGAGCCTGAGCAGTAGGGCCGGGGCTAGGGCCAGGGTTTGAGGGTTTGCCTCCCTCAGCCCTATCTTCACCCACGACCCTCGTGTCTGACTGTTGGCAACTTTCCTCTGCAGTATCTGGATACACACAAGGACAGGTCTCACGCTGGGCCCACCAATGAACCCGTCTGTGAGCCTGGGAAGGGCTCATCTCTCCTAGCCACACATGCCTGGGGCCTGCCAGCAGGGGGCCAGCGGGGGGGGGGGGGGGGGGGGGGGGAGGGGAAGGATGGACTGTATCGATTTTTCCACAGCCTTTGAGACATGACAACTCTCCTCCCCGACAGGTGTCAAGCCCAAGTGCTATAACCAAAGCGACGGGGAGCAAAACTCAACGGCGTGGTTTCTAAACTACCTGGGGAAGTACCTGTCGTACTGCAATGTGGAGGATCTCAGAGCCTTCGGGGGGGGGGGGGGGGGAGGGGAAGGATGGACTGTATCGATTTTTCCACAGCCTTTGAGACATGACAACTCTCCTCCCCGACAGGTGTCAAGCCCAAGTGCTATAACCAAAGCGACGGGGAGCAAAACTCAACGGCGTGGTTTCTAAACTACCTGGGGAAGTACCTGTCGTACTGCAATGTGGAGGATCTCAGAGCCTTCAGCGACAGCCAGCAGCTGGTAGGTTCAGAGTTTGGGTTTCACGTGGGTTCCTTCCACTAGGTTTTACTGCCCTTCGAGGTCGGAGCACGTTTGTGCATCTTGACGTATCAGTGTACAGGCTCCTAGATAGCATTAGCCATTCCTTTATGTTTCCATAGTGTCTAGGGTAGTGAGTGGGCTACATGAGTGGTCTTCCTCGTGACAGGTGTGGAGAAAGTGCACGAGGAAAAGTGATTTACTTGTTCCCATAACATCAGAACTAGCTATCACCAAATGAAATAAAACAGCAGGTTTAAAACAAACCAAAGGATGTTTTTCTTCACGCAGCGCACAGTCAACTTGTGGAACTCCTCGCCAGAGGATGTTGTGCAGGCCAGGACTTTAACAGGGTTCAAAAAAGAACTAGATATATTCATAGAAGTTAAGTCCATTAATACTTATTAGCCAGGATGGGTAGGAATGGTGTCCCTAGCCTCTGTTTGTCAGGGGCTGGGAATCAAGGGAGGGACCACTTGATGTTTCCTTGTTTCTGTTCTTTCCCTCTGGGGCACCTGGTATTGGGCACTGTGGGCAGACAGGACACTGGGTGACGTGGATCTTTGGTCTGACCCAGCCTTGCTGTGCTTAGGTTCTTATGTTCCTTCATCTCAGTTGGCCTCAAGATTGTCCTACCCAATCGGTCTCCCAGGGTAGGGTTGTGTTGCTCACTGCGCCTGCGTACCTAGAATTTGCAAGGGGTGCCGACTGAACCGGAGCCACGCTGGGAATGGCTGCAGAGAGAGCGCCCAGCTCTCTGTCAGTGCTGTGTGCCATCAGCCCGCACCTCGCTGCATGTGCCCTGGTTTTAGGTGTGTGTCACGTGAGTGACACCGGTAGGAAATAAACGAAGTGGAAGGAAACTGACAGAATCCGGCAACCCTGCTCGTGGACAAGGGGAAAGAAAAAGTCTCGCAGGCTGCAGGCAGAACCCCAATGGGCCGCATGTGGCCCTCAGGCTGCAAGTTGCCCACCACTGCTCTAGGGGCCCTAGGCATGGGTAGGACCTCGCCGTGCCAGAAGCTGCCCAAACACAGAACAGCCCCTGCCCCCAAAGAGCTTCCAGTCTAAAGCTAGGACAAGACTAGATGGATGTAGATGGTGTGCGGGGGAGGGGGGGGGAGGAATACAGGGAAACCATGAGACAATATTGGTCTCTGCACACCAGCAACACAGTCATTGTCCCGTTAGTTGTAGGCCGCGTGACAAAGAGTTCTGGGGAGGGGTTTGAAGGGGGATACCTAGTTTGCTTTTTCATGGGCAGCAGGGCCTAGCAGCTCAGTCCGGACACTCAGCCCCCCAGCTCCGAGGTCTTGCTCTGGGAGCTCATTCAAACGGCACGATTCGTGTGGATTTCCACAGGCATCGGGCTACGCGTCAGTTTCACGCCTCTGTAAAATGGGCATAAGACTATTGAGCTGCCCTGTGGAGGACAAAGGGGATCGACTGATCAAGAGCTGTAAAGTGGTCTGAAGAGGGAACATCCCGTAAAAGGGATGAGTGTCAGTGCTCTCTGTAACCCAGGGACGGGCAATAATTTTTGACCGGGGGCCACTTCAGAAATTTTTGAAGTGGCCCCAGGCTGCCCCAGAAGGGGCGGAGCCTCAGGCGGAAGGGGCAGGACCGGGATGCTTACGTGCCTCTAGGAGGAGACTTCATGCGCTCCCCTCCCACCCCCAAGTCCTGATTGGCCTGGGGGCAGGAGGGAGCGCGAAGTCTCTTGCTCCCTGATCTTGGGTGCACAGGGCTTAGAGTCAACCGCCAGGGTTGACTCTAAGCTCCGCATGCTCCCCGATCCCTGATTGGCCTGGGGGAGAGGAAGTAGCAGGACCTCCATGGGCTGGCTCAACCCACTTGGCAAGCCGGATCCAGTCTGTGGAGGCCGTTTTGCCCACCCCACTGTAAGCAGGGCGCTTGTGCGGCTGCTCAGGAGCAATTCCAATGCCATGCAGCTGCTTAGCAGAGCACCCAGCTATGTTTCTGTTTCTTTGGGTGGTGCACATTTGCACATGCCTCAGTGCATGTAGAAAAATGTATCCCGCACATGGATGGGAAAAATCCGCACATGGATGGAAAAACTAGAGGGAACATGGATGAGCATTAGGAAGAAGCAGCAGAAAGGCCGTGTGGGCCACCACCTCAGGGCTGGCTCCTTGGCTTGAGATCTGAAAAAGAAAAATGCAGCCATTTGGGTAGACAGACGCGGGAGGCTCCAAAAAGCCGTCCTTGTCAGCATTGCCAGGCGGTTGTTTTGTACTGTTGAGACCACTGCAAGGACACTGCCAGCTGCCTGAGCTGCAAGGCCCTGCACAGATAGCAGCAAGGCCGTCTCCGACCGGCCCTGCCAAGCCCACGGCGGCTCCCTCCCGCATGGCCAGTCACAGCACTCAATGGGCTGGCGCTGGTGCTGGTGCAGAGCTGTGGACTTCAGGGGCGATTTGCCCATTTAGAGGAAGCAGATCGTTCGGCTTTATATTTGATAACGTGTTCTCTGGGTGCCGTGGCGTTTCATTCTAGGGCCGCAGCCACGTCCCTGGGACACTGGGAAGCAAGTTTGGGTGGTGGTTGGGCTTTTCTCTGCCTGGAATTTTCCTCGTGCCAGGGATGCTGGCATCACACATCTCTGGGGTAGCCCCATAGATGCCAGCAGGGTTACACCAGGAGGGCACTTACACCCTTTCAGATGCAACACAGAACCACAGAATCATAGAATCACAGAGCTGGAAGAGACCTCAGGAGTCATCAAGTCCAGCCCCCTGCCAAAGCAGGACCAATCCCAACTAAATCAGCCCAGCCAGGGCTTTGTCAAGCTGGGACTTAAACACCTCTAGGGATGGAGATTCCACCCCCTCCCTAGGGAACCCAGCCCAGCGCTTCCCCACCCGCCTAGGGAAATCGTTTTTCCTAATATCCAACCTAGACCTCCCCCACTGCAACTTGAGCCCATTGCTTAGAGTTTAGAGTTTAAAGAGAAGCTGGATAAATTCATGGAGGTTAGGTCCATAAAAGGCTGTTAGCCAGGGGATAAAATGGTGTCCTTGGCCTCTGTCTGTCAGAGGCTGGAGAGGGATGGCAGGAGACAAATCGCTTGATCATTGTCTTCGGTCCATCTTCTCTGGGGCACCTGGGGCTGGCCACTGTCGGCAGACCGGACACTGGGCTAGATGGACCTTTGGTCTGACCCAGTACGGCCGGTCTTATGTTCTTATGCTCCTTGTTCTGCCCCCTGCCACCACTGAGACCAGCCTCTCGCCAGCCTCTTCGGAACCCCCCTTCAGGAAATTGAAGGCTGCTCTCAAATCCCCCCTCACTCTTCTCTTCTGCAGACTAAAGAAGCCCAGATCCCTCAGCCTCTCCTCGTAGGTCACATGCTCCAGCCCCCGAATCATTTTGGTCGCCCTCCACTGGACCCTCTCCAATGCGTCCACATCCTTTCTATAGGGGGGGGCCCAGAACTGGACACAATACTCCAGATGTGGCTTCCGCCGAGCTGAATAAAGGGGAATACTCACTTCTCTGGATCTGCTGGCAACGCTCCTCCTAATGCCCCCTAATATGCCATTCTTGGCTACGAGGGCGCCCTGGTGACTCACAAGACAGAGCCCCTCATGCTGCCTCAGACAGCTGAACAGAGACCTCTTCACGCAGGGTGTGGCTGGGTGTGCTGCCCGGGTACCCCTGAATATGTCACAGGTTAAAGACACAGAGCTAGGGCCACTTGCTGTCAGTGAATACTAGAGCCAGTCCGGAAGCGATCTGCATGTGGCTGAAACTAATGTGTCTGAAACTCCCCACAGCCCCTCTGCACATGTCCTCACTGGCTTTGGGGGTCCCTAGCAGCGTTCCCTGTAAGCTGTGCACTAGTGTGGCCACTCAGGAGAGATTCCAATGCTGCCCCGCTGATTAGCAGAGCACTCGGCGAGGTTTCTGTGTCTCCAGGTGGTGCACTATCACACGTGCCTCAGTGCGCATAGAAAATTTATTCCGCACCTGGATGGGGAAAACAATCCGCGCATGAATGGAAAAGATTGGAGGGTCCCTAAGTGGGTCGATTTCTATTCCTGACCTGCGGTTACGTGGGGGGGGAGGGGTTTCGACCACGGTCCGCATTGAAACCTTTCGTCAGAGCAGCTGCAAGACTTCGCGGTGGATCCTCACAACCTGGCGCTGGTGGGGGGAGTCGCCCTCTCGGAGGACGTGAAGGAATTCTACTCCGAGCTGATCGCGCGGCAGAATCCTCCCGTCGCACTGGGAAGGTAACAGGCCGGGCGGGGCTGCGGTGGGGACGTGCGTGTACCTTCCCGCCCACGAATCGGGCATGAGAACGGTTAGCGTCATGGTGGTTTTAGTGCTGCCTGGCCCCCATGCGTGATACCCACTGGGGCGCATTTGCCTGATTTGGGGGCGATTCTGGGGTTTTTTTAATTCAGGGGTCAGCCACAGCCAGCAAATGGAAACACTCTGATGAGTTGCCTCTGAACCAGTTTAACTGGACTCCTCCACCATCTCCATACATTGTGGGGGCTGCCAGGGAGGGACTCTGCCGTTCCCCTGCCCCCCAAGTGTGCAGCAGGAGGACAGTAACAGCCCTGAGCCCTGGTCCCATTCTGGGGCCTATGCACCCCAGTCAGGTGCATTAAAACCCGTCTGAGCTGTCAGGGCAGGAACTAGCTCCAGGAATCGGCCTGCAGCCCAGCTCGGGATCAGACAGTAGATTTATAGCGGAACCCCCCCATTGATCAGAACTCTCCCCGCATCAGAGGGAGAGGTACCACCAGGTCCACTTCTCTGCCCAGCCGCAGCACCAGGCCAGCACCTGCAATCGCAGGCTGCCCTGGGTCCCAGCCATGCTCTTCCAGCCCTGCTTGGTTCCTGATGCCAGCTTGGGCTCTGGGGCTGTAACCACTAGGTGTGACCACCCAGTCTGTGACACTAATGGTCCCCATGACCATAATAAGCAAGAGCCTTACAATCTCTAACATATTCATCCTCAAGATCCCTGTGAGGCAGGGAAGTGTTACAGATATGCAACCGGGGTAATAAGAAACATGCCCAAGGTCATGCAGTGAATCGGTGGCAGAGAAGAGCATTCGCGCCTATATCCCAGAGCAGCCATCTAACCACCTATTGCACTCAGAGCAGCCGCAAGGAGGGGAGTCTTGACAGCCCGTTTGCTGAAGGAAAGGGCAGCAGACCTCTAACCTTTCCCACCTCTAGCTGATGGTGCCATCTTTGCTCCCCTCCCTCCCCCAGCATCCCAGACAATTTGATCTGCTATGTGGTCCGCAAGCCTGCAGCCATGGCAACGCCACCGGCCTTGCGGAACTGTCTGAGCCCTTCCCCGGAGCCAGCCGGAGAGGTGAGCCAAGTTGCAAGTGGCGATTGGAGGCCCCCGGGGAGGGGAGGGGAGGGGTTCCCCTGCGCCCCCCGCCCTGCAGCCCTCCTATTTTGCCTTGAAATTCAAGGCAGCATTGCAGGCCTGCCAGGGACCCTCTGTCTTCTGCGACTTCACAGACGCGCGCTCCGGTACCTATGAGGAGCCTTATTCATCAATCGGCGCCATACGGCCCTGGAGCACTTCAAACAGCATCACCAACTTTCATTCCCAAGGCCTCATGCCCGCCACTGTCAGGGGCGGGCAGTGTTAGGCCCGTTTTACCGAGAGGAAACTGAGGCACGGGAAGGGGGCCGCGTCTTGAAGCACCCAGAATGCGGAGCTCCCATTGGCTTCGTCCAGAGTTGTGGGCGACCCAGGCCTCCAAAGCTGCTAGGTGCCGCCGGCTGGGTGGCTCCAAAGGCAGGCAGGCACGGAGACGTAGTGGAAACTTGGCCCTTGGTGACTTCTCCAAGGTCACCTACTGAGCCAATTGTAGAGTCGGGAAGAGACCCCAGGTATCCTGTGCTTTAGCCACACCCCGGCAGGTCATGGCGAGAAGGGAGAACATTGCTTTCCTTTCCCAGGTGATGAGCACCCAGCCAGACACCGCTGGCAATCTCTCCGTGGAGACCTTTCAAAGACTCGGCCCCCTCGCCGTCAGGTTAACTCCGTCGGTGCTCTTGGCCAACACGGACGGGCAAACCCTCGAGCAGGTGCTCCCCACACTCTCAGCCGCAGGGGGCTGGGGCCCAGCGCAGGCCTCCATCATCCTGAAAAAAGTCCTGCGGAATGGATACCAGGTAAGCAAAACATACAGACCAAGAAGGGCGGGTTTTGGTCTCCTTAGACAGTGACCAAAGCCATGTGCAGAAGGACTGCTCCGCTGTCATTGTGCTCAGAAATGGGCTAACGCTCAGCTCCGCCTGCTTAAAAAACACTAGTCCACTTGGGCAAAGGAGACTCTCCACTAGCAGTATAGGGCCTATGACACACAGTTGCTTCACAAAGCGGGGGGTGTACATGCACTGGATGGTCCATGACCACAGAGAGGATTTTCACTCAGTTGAACCCTTTTCACTGCTCTTCCTCCTCCTCCCTCCCCCCCCGCCAATTGTGCTGGTGTTGTACTGAAAAAGAAAAACCAGCCATCGTGCACAGAGCAGACACAGTGAGACACGTACCTGCCCAGTGGCAAGTGTGAATACTCACTTTGCACACACTCCTGTGCACACTGATTGTGCAATCGCACGCACACTGACAGGCGATTCAAGAAACCTTGCATGACTCTCATTCCGCAACGGCACCATCCTGCTGACTCAAAGGCCAGGGGGCAGTTTATTTAAGGTTCCATGCAGTGTTGTGGATCTCGCACTAGCTCAACGAAGCCAGCAGTGTTTTGACCCTGGGGACGCTAGCGCTCGGCCTTCCCGCCAACGGGCTGGACAAACTGGACCCCAAAGACATCCTCCTCCTGGCTGCAGATCAGAACTTCACCCAGAGCATGGAACAGGCCCTGGTGCCGGTGAAACACAAGTTTGTGCAACGGGTGAGTCTCTGGACTGGCTAGAGCACAGCTCTTCCCCGGAGAATGCCCCAGCTGCATTTCCTCCATACCCAGAACAGCTCAGCTGTGCCTGCTTAAAATCGCTAGCCTCTTCCACTTGGGCAAAGGAGATTCTCCACTAGCAGTAGAGGGCCTATGACACACAGTTGATTTGCAGTGGAGGTGGGTGGCCAGGTTCCAGGTCTCTGCCTTGACACGGAGTTAATGTGAAGTCGGCATCTGTACGAGTGTCTCATCAAACCCCAAACCGCTTCCTGCCCCTCTTCTCCCCCTGACTGGCAGGATCTGCAAAGGGGACAAGAATTCAATGGGCCTGAGATCTCCTTTCATTCCTAGAGAGGATCCCGGATCCCTCTGGGGCAGAGCTGAGGCCCAGTTTGGGGCCCGCACAGACTTTCCTGCTCTCTGGATAAAACAGGACTCCAGGGCTGGTCCTTCAGCAGCCTCCATGCTGCTCCCAAAGAGCAGGCCAACGTCTCCCCGACGCAAAGGCTCAGCGCTGCACGGTGCAAAGCCGGCTCCCTGCCCTTCGACTGGCTTCTTATTCCCTTGCACGGCACGACCCGGAATGTTATAAGCCTGGCAGCCCACCTCCCCTCAGCACGGCCCTGTCTGTTTTCATTTCAGATCTTACAAAGCACCCCTGGAAACACCCTCCTCAATATCCCAGATCAACTGGCGGATCAGATCCCTCTGTCTAGGCTGGCCTCTCCCCTGATCAGTACCCAGGAAATCAACCAGAAGAAATGGACACCCACTCAGGTAGCTCGTTTTGCTGTGGATCCCCGTTTCCTCCTCTTCCCCCAGCCTCTCCAATTCCCCGGGAGAGCCCTTGTGCTCCAACTCATATGTACAAATGGTACCGCCGCTGAATTCTTCTCTCTTCCAAGAAAGAAAAACAAGAACAGACCATTGTTCCCAGACCTCTTCCTCTTCCTCCTTCGTTAGCGACAAAGGGAAAGTGGAGAGCTTGTTCTAAGCGCTGGTCCTTATTGTTAACGGAGCCACACCCAGGTCACCTCCTCAAATACGGGGTACAAAGCGAAACCATGCCCCACTCCAGAGTCAGCTGCATTTCGGAAGAGAGGGGCACGTTCAGGGTTGAATTTCATCTGCGGATGTGTCAGTCCAGAGTCTCTGCACTGACGGGAGCGGGGTGACTCTAGATTTACACCGGGGCAGCTGAAGGCAGAATTTCGTGCGCCTGTGACTGAGTCATTTCACGAATCGCTAGCTAAATGAGGCTATAGAACAGGGGTTCTCCAAGTGTGCTCCATGGACCACTAGTGGTTTGTGATCATCATGCAGGTGGGCCGTGGGTGTGGGTCCTGCCCCCTCCCTTGAAGCGGGGGGCTTGCATTGGTGCTCCAGCCCTGTCCCCTCCCTCCCATGAGGTTGGAGCACCGGCGCCAGCTTCCCGCTGCAGGAGGATGGAGTGGAAGGAAGCAGCTCCGTGTGCTGCTTCTCCCCTTCCTCCCGGCCAGGGAACAGCAGCGCAGGAAACCTCTCACCTGGAGGCTTTCCCTGCTGTTCCCATTGGCTGGAATCACAGCCAATGGGAGCAGCGGGGGCGGTGCCTGGGAGCAACAGAGGGTACAGAGCCAGGTAAGTGCCCCCATCTTGCTCATGCCTAGAAGTTGCCCCCTTTTTCTGCAGAGACCCCGCACCTCCACCCTGCTCCTGCACCCTCCCTCTCTCTCAGGACCCCCCACCCCATCCTCAGCCTGCTCCTGTACCCTACCTCCTGGCCAAGAGGCATTGTCATAGGGGGCTGGCCGCAGAAAGATCTGTGTTGAGCGGCATGGACTATGGGCCAAAAAGTTTGAGAATCTCTGCTCTAGAAAGAGAATGAATGACACGCTTAACACTGGGGGAATCAGTTCTCCAGCAAGGACACGTTCCGATTTTGGGGGGCCAATTATCTTTTCCTGTTTGGTTATTTTTTTAAAAGCGGCTGGTGGGAGCTCCCTCGGCGGACCTCTGGCCAGCCCGTGGGAGAGTTTGCCATCGTCTCGTTTTCCTCGGGAAGGTGCTGTAGCACTTTTCAGTAGAACGCAGGAGGGTGGTGAAGAAGCAGGAACCAGTGAAGGGAATCCTGCTGTAGAAGCATATTTCACACTCGCTCTGCGTGAAAAGCTTTCAGTGAGAAGGCTACTCACGTGGGAAAATAAATGTAAGCTATTCTCTTTTCCCACCACACATTCAGAGCTCTGCTTCCTTTTATAACCACAGGCCAGCGTGTTCTTCCAGGCCATACTGAAGTCCACACAGCAATATTCCAGGTGAGTTAAGGGATATTTCCATCTCCAAAGAAGCAATAGGAATGATCTTCAAAGCACGAATCGTGCAAACTGCAGAGTGCGTGGAAGATGAAAAGTCTGAGGGGTTGCCATGCTATTCTGTAAGGGTACGTGTAGACAGCAGGGCTATTTCGGGATACCGGAGGTATCTCAAAATAGCTACCTGGTGTCTGTGAAACGCGCCTGCTATTTTGAAATATTTTTCAAAGTAACGGGCGCGCTATTTCGGCATCCCTGTTGCCCTTGTTCCACGAGGGTTAAGGGATGTCTTGAAATCACGTGTTATTTCAAAATTTGGTGCATAAGATATGTGATTTGCGCTATTTCACGTTTAGACTGCTGTGTAGATGCCCTCTAACTGTATGAACAACAAGCAGGCCTGCAGCACCTTGGAGACTAACAAGTGTAGTAGATCATTGAACTTTTGTGCATAAAATCCACTTCCTCGGATGAGTTGGAGTGGAAATGACAGAATCGGGGGTCTATAGAGCAGCAAAAGAAGATGCTCTGGTTTCTGTCATTACCACTCCAACTCATCTGATGACGTGGGTTCAATGACCTAATCCATTTGTCAGTCTCCAACGTGCCACAGGGCTGCTCGTTGATTTTAGCATCTGAGATGGTTTTCCTTGAAGAACAAGGCCCCAAGAAGTTCCAGGGGCTTATCAATTTCTTTGTCCTGAAAAATCACTGCAATTGGCTACGTAGCTTTGCCATTTTCAGTGTGTACCATGGGTCAGTGCTTTTTTCATGATGGTATGCCCCGGCACGGCTTTTTTTTTTTTTTCTCAACAACTTTCCCCCCGGAGTACTGGCACCTTTTTTCCTACAAAAAAAAACATTGCCCTGGGTTCTATTTAGATGCTATGATCGTTTTAGTCCGCAGCTCCCCAGATTTGTGAAGGGCTTTTAATAGCTCGATAAACAGTGTGCTGAGAAGTAGATAGATACAGGGAGCATCTTCTATTGCTCTTGAGTGACACCTGCCAGTCAATGTTAGGTGTGTGGGTGGCTACTAGAAAGAGCCACGTGCAGCCTCCATAGGACTGCCGCAATTTGTGTGTGTCTGTGCATGTATAAAGCTTGGTACCCTCCCTCCTCCAATAAAAATATTCTCCAAGGCTGTGTCTAGACTGGCCAGTTTTTCCGGAAAAACTTGCCAGCTGTCTACACTGGCCGCTTGAATTTCCGCAAAAGCACTGACTTCCTACTGTAAGAAATCAGTGCTTTTTGCGGAAATACTATGCTGCTCCCGTTCGGACAAAAGTCCCTTTTGAGCAAAACTTTTGCACAAAAGGGCCAGTGTAGACAGCTCAGGTTTTTTTTCCGCAAAATAGCCCTGATGGCGAAAATGCCGATCAGGGCTTTTTTGCACAAAAGCGCGTCTAGATTGGCCACGGACGCTTTTCCGCAAAAAGTGCTTTTTTGGAAAGCGTCCGTGCCAATCTAGACGCGCTTTTCCAAAAATGCTTTTAACGGAAAACGTTTCCGTTAAAAGCATTTCCGGAAAATCATGCCAGTCTAGACGTAGCCCAAAAGTTCCTATTTTATACCGAAGAAGAATAAGGCAAGAGACCAAATAACAACGCCGGATAATAATGCTTCTATTTCTCATGTAGCTTATCATCCTCTGTCCTACAAGGATTCAGCTGTGGAGCAGCAAACTTTTTAAACAGCAGTCCGTTTGCTAGCCTGGCAAAAGCCATGAAGGACAAACAGATCCGACTGGAAGATAATCAGGTGAGAGGGCAATCACGGGTCCACTGGGATGTCTGCAGAGAGCAAGATGGCACCGTGTGGCAACCAATTCAACCCCAGCCTGGCGTGAAGAGCCCACGGGAGAGATGAGGGCCACGGCGTGGATACAACACACGTTTGTGCTAACCCGGGTCAGGCACGTTCACAGCGGAAAGCCGGGCTCTTAGGTATCATCATGGTGTAGACATTCCAATCAGAGTATAGACATTTCGGGAGCTCACAATCCGAGCAGGGATATTTCCACGGCTATTGTTAGCACTAGAGTACAAGCCCAGCAAGTCTACGTGTAGAACAGACACAGGCTCGTAGACTTGCTGCTACAGAGAGACGGGGGAGGGAATTGGCAGGTACGTACCCAGTCTGTACAACACATTAGGCTTGGATCTAGTACCTATTTAAATCAAGGGAAAGACTTCAGTGGTCTTTGGAATAAAGCCGCATTATTATTGGTGGTTTCATTATGGTCGGGTGACTAAAGAAACCTGGGTGAGAGAGTTATACGTTGAGGAAGGAGGAGTCAGTCCCTTAATTACATCATCTTTTTGTATTATTTTTGTAGCTAAGCTGCATGACAAAAAGACTGACGGGACAGATAACCCCATCTGATTTTGAAGACTATCCACCCGAGGTTCTTTTTTACATGGGGTAAGACACACAAGTGCGTTTCTTTCTTTCACTTTTGAACGGACGTTGTTCAAGATAGAAAAAAACCAACAACAGCCATATGAATACCAGGTTGCCAACTCTCACAATATTGGGTGCATTCATAAAGCACCAGCTCCTGGAGTCATGTGACTAGTGGAGGCGACTAGAATTCTTTTTACGTTTCTAGCCCCCCGCTGTGCAGATGTAACGCTGTCCGGTGGAATTGAACCGGGAACCTTTGGAGCTTAGTGCATGACCCGGATTCCACATGAGCTAAAAGCCAGCTGGCTCTCAGCTCAGGCTGTAGAGGAGACTTGTTATTCTCTCTGTAAATGGCCTCGGGGTGTTAAACATCAGCTAACTGACCAATCGAATAGGCGATGCATTTTGCATTCACTATTTGATTAGTCAGTAGGACACCTTCGCCTCTGAAGTGTAGCAACAGCCATAGCTGACCCAGGGCTCCATGCAGTGCTGCCGCTTTGAAATGCCATGAGGAGCCTGACGCCGGGCCCGCCACAGCACTTCAAAGCGCCAGCGCCACACGGAGCCTAGGGTCAGTCTGGGGACACCAGCATTTCAAAGTGGCAGCCCCTCCTCTACCCCCACCCTTGCTGCCTCTTTGTGATAGAGGCAGCAATGTGTGGGGTGGGGGAGGGAGCAATTAGTCGACTAACTGATAAGCATTTGCTTACTGGTTAGTCGACTAGTCCTTCACATCCTTAGGTCTCAGTGACACTAGAAGGGACAGTGCACCACACCCAGAAGATGTGTGGGTTACACAGGGGTCACCCAATGGCTCAAAAACCAAAAGACAGATGAAAAAGGCCCAATACAGGCTGAACCTCTCTAGTCCAGAACTCTTGGGTCCAGCAACATCCGTGATCCGGCATGATTTGAGTTACCGGATGGCCACTTATCATGGGTGTGGCCAAGTTTCTCACAGACCCATAAAGTTTGTTGACAGCCACCCGTCCTGGCTCCCATGACCCACGGAAGACAATAGAATTCTTTCCATTGAGTTTATTGGGAGCTGACTTGAGCCTGTGATGACGAATCCAGACATTTGTGATTGATAGGGATGTGAACGGATAACCGGTTAACTCATTACCCAATAATCATCACCCCTTAATGGTTAACTGTTACTTGGGAGCAGCCCACCATCCATGGACGGTTGCTCCCGCCCCGCAGGACTCTTAGCTCCCAGCCCACATGGGCTACGAGTCAACAGCCTTGCACGGGGCTGGAAGCGGAGGTGGAAGAGGAGAGGGCGGCTGGCTCAACGTTTAATCGGTTAACTAATTAAACAGGATTTTACATCTCTAATCACTGAATCCTCAGCCATTCCGTCTGCCATTCGACACGTTTAAGACGGTTTTGTACAACCGATATTTCTGTTGCTTCATCTTTTCTAGGCCAGACAAATTTTCAGACCCAGTGAACTGCCAGAAATATTTTCACCTCGTGGGACAAGCCCACGTTGACCTTTTGCCAAGAGTGTCTTCCAAAAGACGGTTGCTGCTGGAGAGGGCTAAGGCCTGCCTGGTGAGATGCTAGCTGATTCACTGATTACGTACTGTTGTTTCACAGAGCTTGGAAATGTTCCAGCAGGGTATTAATTGCACGGACCATTGCTACCGGGACTCAGTCCAGGGAGAACTGGATAAGATTCTCTGTCTGTGTTCTATCGAAAGCCAACGACATGATCTAATGGTCTTCCCATGTACCAGCTCACCAGCGGCTTCAGCTGGAGAGTACAAGCTAACAGTCCTTACATACACACTTAGGAGGGGTGGTGACTGAGCATGCTCAGTGGAGCGTCGCTCGCTCCAGAATTCACTTTCTTTCTGGATACGGGGCGAGTTTGTTGGCTCGCAGGCTGCATTTCTTGTCACTGCCTTTTGTCGGCGGTGTCTGGTGGGGAAGACTGGATCAGTGACCACCACAGAACTTATCTACCAGGGAAGCGACTCCAGATAAGGTGGGGTGTGAATGTAAAGCACTGTAATTATTCCAGAAGAATTCTGTATGCAGATGCCCTTCTCCAGAGTGTGTCCACATGGGGAGCTATTCCAGAGTCATTAGCAAGTCTGATGAATTTCCTCTTGGTGGACAAGTCTGGAAACAAGAAGTGTGTCGCTTATTTGTAAGGAAAAAACCCACTTTCTCTTACAATATGACCTTCTGCACCGAGTTGGGGGGGTATTTATAATTGGGTGCACTGAGTGAATGGACATATACATGAATCACCACCAGAGCAGGGGAGATCCTGGCTCTGCCGAAATCAATTTCAGTGCGGCCAGGATTGCACTGTAGGTATTGTAGAAAGGGAATTTCATACTCTCTGGGCACGTCTACACAGCAGCGGGGGTAAAGCCGAAATAAGCGATGCAACGTGAGCAATGTCAATTGCGTAGCTTAAGGTGAAATGGCTTGTTTTGGCTTTTGCCGCTGTCTACACAGCAGGAAGTCTGAGTGAGAGCCCTCCTCCTCTGACTTCCTTTACTCCTCATAAAATGAGGGTTCCAGGAATCGGAGTAAGACGTCCTCCAGCTTGCCATTATTTCAACATTATGTCGAAATAACTGCTCGTAGAGTAGACGTGGACTATGTTATTTCGGAATCAGGTCAGTTACTCCGAAATGATGCTGCTGTGTAGACATAGCCTCTGAAAACAACGTGTAAGACATGGCTGATCACTGTTTAAAACAACAGGTAGCTCAGGCCCAATTCTTACACCTGTGATTCAGGGAAGTCCATGGCTTGATTATCCTGCTCGTCTAAGTTGCTAAGAGCAGTTGATGCAGACGCAGAAGCAGCCGAAGAGTAAGAGACAGAGTGAAATGTCCGTGTAAATGCATTCTGGTGCTATATCCAGGCAGCTCTGGTTGCTCATGTCAATTTCTTTTGTTTTGTATTCTCAGGGAACACCTACCTTGTCGTTTTCAAAGGAAAACCTGCTAATGTTAGGCAACCTTTGTTGTGCCCTCAATGGCTCAGACATTGTGAAATCGGACCCGTCTGTCCTAACGAGATTGCAAAGCTGCAGGTCGTTCACTGAAGACCAACCGGCAGCCATAGAGCAGCAGCTAGAGAACAAATATGGGTAGGTCATACAAGGAGTCACGTGCTGAACTTCTGTAGTGATGAGTTATGGACTCAGCCCGGTTGGATAAGATCTCCTCCTTGACCTACCTTCTCCAGAGGTTCTCACCCCTCTCTCCTCCAGCATATTTGCTTACGCAAGGAAGAGCAGGGAGGTCACAATCAGGCATGTAAAAGATTAACTGGAGTACGGCAGAAAGGGATCTAGGGGTTATAGTGGACTACAAGCTGAATAAGAGTCAGCAGGGTGATGCTGTTGCTAAAAAAGCAAACACGAGTCCGGGATGCATTAACAGGTGTGTTGTGAGCAAGACACGAGAAGTCATTCTTCCGCTCTGCTCTGCGCTGGTTAGGCCTCAGTTGGAGTGTTGTGTCCAGTTCTGGGCACCGCATTTCAAGAAAGATGTGGAGAAATTGGAGAGGGTCCAGAGAAGAGCCGTAAGAATGATGAAGGGTCTAGAGAACATGAGCTATGAAGCAAAGCTGAAAGAATTGGGCTTGTTTAGTTTAGAAAAGAGAAGATTGAGAAGGGACATGATAGCGGTGTTCAGGTATCTAAAAGGGTGTCACAGGGAGGAGGGAGAAAACTTGTTCTTGCTGGCCTCTGAGGATAGAACAAGAAGCAAGGCGCTTAAGCTGCAGCAAGGGAGGTTTAGGTAGGACATTAGGAAAAAGTTCCTGTTAGGATGGTTAAACACTGGAATAAATTGCCCAGGGAGGTTGTGGAATCCCCATCTCTGGAGATATTTAAGAGCAGGTTAGATAAATGTCTATCAGGGATGGTCTAGACAGTATTTGGTCCTGCCATGAGGGCAGGGGACTGGACTCAATGACTCTCGAGGTCCCTTCCAGTCCTAGTATTCTATGATTCTATGAAACCGTAGGGGCTGGAGCAACTCCCTGCCCACCCTGAAGTCCACTGCTGGAAGGGCTGCTCCAGCCAGATGCCCAGAATAGCTCTGGCCACTGCCATCATGGCTGTAGCAGCAGTGGCAGCCAGGAACCCCAGCCCTTTTAACTCACCAGGCTCTGTTTGCCCCCCACCCTCGAGTCGGCGGGCCTGTTTCTAAAGCATTCCTAATGGGCGGGGGTCAAATCCATCCTTGGCTACCTTGAGTCAGGGCAACTCCGGCATCTCCACTGCTTGGGCCATTCTCTGTGCTCTAAGAGCTGGTACGGTCGATACGTTTTTGCAGGCGGTGTCCTTGCTATGGCATCTTCCCCTTCTGGCCTCTGTGACTAGTGAGATTCCTGCTCCCCTTGAGCCGGACTATTTATACCCCATCGTCACAGCCCCTCCCGCGCTCCTGTTCTCCACAGGCAACGTGTCCCGGTTTCCTCAAAGGCCTTGCTCATCTCCCAGCTGGCTCGCTTGTCTGACTCGGGGGTTCTCGTCAGGCGACTTCTTTCATTCTTGGGCAAAGCCTCTACTAGCCTCAAAGGAATAGTCTGCCCTGGGTTCAACCTCCCCTGATCGCGGTGTTGCCTCTGAAGGTGCATTCCTTTGGGCACGAGAGGCATTTGAGTTTCCCTTTCGGGTTTGGGCAATCACATCGCTCACGGTGATAAGCGCAGGGCAGGTACAAAATGCATCTCTTTCCTCTCCAGATCACCTTCAACGTGGACAGTCAGCACCCTGACAGACATGGGCCTGATGGCCAGTACCCTGAGGAGTGGAACCCTTCAAAGGATCCCAGAGGTACCGTACTTCAATGGAACATCAGCGCTATATTTAACCAGATCATCAATTAATTAATTAAGAGATGGGCTGGGGGCGGAGGGGAAGGAGGGGTCGCTCCAGCCCAGCTGGGCTGGACTTGGTTCCCCATCGTGAGAGGGGTGTACAGCCGGTGAAGGGGCACATGTCCAGCCGGGAGACAGAGAAACACAGATAAATAGACAAACTTTTTGAAATCTATAGTAGAGAGCTGTCCCTTTCTCCACTCCTGCCCCCTTCTGGTCCAGTGGGGTTATAGCTGTCCCAGTTCCCATCTCTGGCCCCTTACTGCCCCCTGTGGTCATTCTGCAGTATAACTGTCCCTCCTGCCAGACCCCTCCCTTTCCATTTGATGAGAAACAAATTCCAGGCACATCCCATTGTCTTGGCACAACCAAACCCTGGCCTTGCTTTAATTTAGGAGACAAGGGAGCTGCCTACCACATTGGGTGATCCTAGCTCTTACTGTTTAGGAGGAGTTTTTCAACAAAGGGACTCTCGGACTGACGGACAGACCGACAGACGCACCTTTCTAAAATATCTATAAGAAGGCCATCGCTGTGCTAAGCCCAGGTGTCACTAATAGTGATCTAATACCAACTGGGAGCTGCAGACACCTGCTCCTACGGTTTCTGCACAGCTCTGTTAAGTTACAGAGTGTAATGCAGGGTTATTGAAATCGGTTTAAAAGAGGGCAGGTTAGAAAACGGAAAACCCCTTTTCCAGAGCTACTGCAAATTCCAATGTATCTGTCCCAGCAGCTGCCTTTCCACAAGCTCTTTTCATCCTGGAGGTGAGGTCCATCGATGGCTATTAGCCAGGATGGGCAGGGATGGTGTCCCTAGCCTTTGTTTATCAGAAGCTGGGAATGGGATAATGAGGGTGGGATCACTTGAGGATTCCTAGTTCTGTTTTCTCCCGCTGGGGAACCTGGCATTAACCACTGTTGGAAGACAGGACGCTGGGCTAGAGAGACCTTTGGGCTGATGGAGCATGGTCGTTCTTATGTTCTTATGTCCCACCGCAGAGAGAGAAGATGCTGTTTTTCCCTGATTTCTTGAGCCAGTTGAAGACCTGGAATAGGGACCAGTTCACCTATATCCTGGATCAGCTTGCAAAGCCTCAGCGGCAAAAACGAGCTGCAAGTGCGTACTGTGTGCTAAATCTTGGGTCGAATTTCTAGAGGTCTCCTTCCCTCTAGATTAACCTCCCTTCTTCCTCTGCTCTCTGAGGGCACATCTACACTGCTACACTATTTTGGGATCCTGGAGCATCCCGAAATAGCTATCCCACCTCTTCGCATCAAGCCCGTTATCTCAGCCTTGCTATTCCGCTGTCCTGTAAACCTCATTCCACGAGGAGTAAGGGATGTTTCGGAACAGCGCTTTGTTTTGAAATTTGGTGCTATGTAGACAAACCAAATGACAAACTAAGCTATTTCGAAATAGCATCAAAATAAGATACGCCACTTGCGTAGTTCAAACGATGTATCTTATTTTGAGTTCCGGTGCAGTGTAGACACACCCTCATCCCACAGCTGCATCTTCTCAGGAAACGCCAGTTCCTGCTTGATAGATGCACAAGATCTTTTAATGGAATCTGATGCTGCCAGTAAGGTGGAAAGTAAGGTAAGAAGCTGGGAGGGGTTGCAAGGGCTTTGGAGGATAGGGTCATAATTCAAAATGATCTGGACAAACTGGAGAAATGGGCTGAGGTAGACAGGATGAAGTTGAATAAGGACAAATGCAAAGTGCTCCACTTAGGAAGGAACAATCAGTCTCATACATACAGAACGGGAAGCGATTGTCTAGGAAGGAGTATGGCAGAAAGAGATCTAGGGGTCAGAGTGGACCACAAGCTAAATATGAGTCAACAGCATGACACTGTTGCATAAAAAGCAAACATGATTCTGGGCTGCATTAACAGGAGTGTTGTGAGGAAGGCACGAGAAGTCATTCTTCCGCTCTACTCTGTGCTGGTTAGGCCTCAATTGGAGTATTGTGTCCAGTTCTGGGCACCACATTTCAAGAAAGACGTGGAGTAATTGGAGACAGTCCAGACAAGAGCAACAAGAATAATTAAAGATCTAGAAAATATGAGCTATGAGGAAAGATTGAAGAATTGGGCCTGTTTAGTTTGGAGAAGACGACTGGGAGAGGACGATAGTGGTTTTCAAGTATCTAAAAGGGTGTCATAAGGAGGAGGGAGAAAAATTGTTCTCCTTGGCCTCTGAGGATAGAACAAGAAGCAATGGATTTTAATTGCAGCAAGGGAGGTTTAGGTTGGACATTAGGGAAAACTTCCTAACTGTCAGGGTGGTGAAACACTGGAATAAAGTTGCCCAGGGAGGTTGTGGAATCCCCATCTCTGGAGATATCTAAGAGCAGGTTAGATAGACACCTATCAGGGATGGTCTAGACCAGTGGTTCCCAAACTTTTCGGCATCATGCTCCCTTGTTGATTTTTGAGAAACCCTCACGCTTCCCCCCCCCCAAAAAAAAATAGCAGCAAAACTTGTTGAGCAAAAGAAAAAAAAGGAACTGACTGCAGCAGCAAAATTTGATGGTGGGGGGAGCCTGGGTCACCTCACGCCCCCACCCCTGGAATTTCTTCACACACACCCAGGGGGGCACACCCCCCACTTTGGGAACCCATGGTCTAGACGGTGCTGGGTCCTGCCATGAGGGCAGGGGACTGGACTCGATGACCTCTCGAGGTCCCTTCTAATTTTATGATTCTATGAGAGTCGGGGCAGGTACCGCTAAGGGTCTCTCCTCCTTTCCTTCTCCTCCTTCTCTCAAGGCTCCTTGTGAATCCCTCTGAATGAAAAGGATTGGCCGCATCAGAGGTGGTAGCACAACACATGCTCCGTCTCCCTCCCCAAAGGGCTGAACCTACTGCCTCCGCCCCGCTCCTAGCTCCCAGCACGTAGCCACGTCCTGCTGAGAGCTCTTTGCCCAGAGCGGAATGAAGGTTAAACGTACACGAGATAGGCTAACGGTCTCTCTTTCTCCCAAGCGGGCTGCACAAGAACTCCGTTGACCACAGAAATGGTGGTGAAGCAGAGAGACCTTTTAGTTTCCACCTACACCTCCAGCAGCGATCTGGATGCTTGCCTCCCTGACGACGTGCTGAGCACCAATCTGGAAACTTTGGGGAAGCTGGAATTTCAGGACCCTCTCCTTCAAGTGCTAAAGCTGAAACTGGACAAGGTAGCGTAGACTCTGGAGCAGGTTGGATGAGAGGCGCAGAGGAGCACTGTTTCTCAACTTGTGTGGGGGGGGGAAACGGTGACGTGGAAAGATGGCTTTTAGCTTTTAAATACTGTCAGTGCTGCGACTCTTAACAACCCACATCGACAGCCTCTGGCCAGGGAGAATCATAGAGCACCTGGAAAACATGAATGAGATAAAGCTTCTGGCACAGCTGGGTTAGCTCAGTAAGTAGAGCAGAAGATACTTAACCTCAGGATCATAGGTTCGAGCCCCATTGGCAAGGTCTTTTTCACTCACATTCAGTCTACAAGCAATTTACTCTCAGCTTTCACTAGGGTTTTAGGAAGAAAACGTCTAAGTACCTAAAAGGGTGTCACAAAGAGGAGGGAGAAAAATTGTTCTCCTTGGCCTCTGAGGATGGGACCAAGAAGCAATGGGCTTGAATTGCAGCAAGGGAGGTTTAGGTTGGACATCAGGAAAAACTTCCTGTTGAGGTGGTTAAATGCTGGAATAAGTTGCCTAGGGAGGTTGTGGAATCTCCATCACTGGAGATATTGAAGAGCAGGTTAGATAGATGCCTGTCAGGGATGATCTAGATGGTGCTTGGTCCTGCCGTGAGGGCAGGGGACTGGACTCGATGACCTCTGGAGGTCCCTTCCAGTCCTAGTGTTCTGTGATTCTATAACACTCCAATCTTCATTTAAAGAGAGGGACACGAATGCTCTGAGAATTGTTATAAGTCCTTTGATGCCTATGACACCAGTGTGCTCTCAGCACCTCTGAAAAATCAAGCCACCTAGTTAGGTGCCAAACTTTGGACACTCCAAGTTAAAAAATGTTGGCAGTAGTGCAATGTCCAGAAACTGATGTCATCATGGTTAGGTAGGCCCAAGACAAGAACCCCAAAGTCCTAAGACTATCTCTCATACTCCCTTGCCCTAAAACAGAGTTAGGGGATTGAGTCAGGATTCAGGAATCTGTTTGTAGGCAGTTCAGTACAAAGTGTGAGCCATTAAAGAGACAAAACATGGCTGTGATGCTTGATGCCTGATTTGGAGTGTTAGGAGGGGTATCAAATCCACCTGCTTGCCTACTGGATTTTGACTCAATGGCACGTTGGTAAATTCTGCACCTTTCAGTAAATCTCCTTGTACACAGTAGCATCATATCCATTTGAGCAGTATGCGCCCTGAAACAACTCACGCGTCCGCCTGTCCGCTCACTGTATTTTGTGCTTCACACAGATCTTTGGCACACCGCCCGAAGACTATCTTCCACTCTTGGGAAACATAGCCAGGATGTATACCCCCACTGAAATTGCTAACTGGAATATCACTGCAGCCGAGACCTTAGCAGCCCTATTGGCAGGAACATCATGGCAAAAGGATCTCCCAAAGGTAAGGGACATGTGAGCGAAACATTGCAAATGCAGGTAGGACAGTCATTATTTTAAAAAACTTCAGGGATTAAAAATGACGCAGTAGCTGCCTAAATAACATGCCCCTACCCCCATGCAAAGTATACCGTGTGCAATACGGGATACTAGTTGCAGGGAAAGGAAGGAGGTTATTATATTGGAAATGGTGCAATGCACGGAAACCAAAAATGATGTATGGTCTCCAAGATTCACACATCAAGAAACAGGCTTTTTCTGCTTGAAAAAGAAGAGGCCGCCAAAAGGAATGTTTCAAACATACAGGCAGACAAAGCTGATAAAGACACAGTCGCTCTCCTGTTGTAAATGGAGACTTCCATCAGCTCATTAGCAAACTCAAGCCGCAGCAGATCTCAGACAGAGATCTTTCAAGCATGGGATGATAGAATTATAGAATCCTGGAATCCTAGAATCCTAGAACTAGTAGGGACCTTGAGAGACGTTGAGTCTAGTCCCCGACCCTCATGGCAGGACCCAGTGTAACCCACACACTTAGGCTGTGTCTGCACTGCAAGCGTGTTTTTGCACAAGTACAGTAGATTGTCAGAAGACAGGGCCTTTTGCACAAGAGTTATTCCTCTTTCTATGAGGAATAAGCCTTTTTGCGCAAGATCTCTTGTGCAAAAAGGCATATGTGGACGGACAACATTCTTGTGCAATAAACCCCAATGGGAAAAAGCACAGGTGCTCTGATGGCTGTTCTGTGAATGGCCATCAGAGCTTTCTTGCGCAAGAGCATCCATGGCAGTGTGGACACGCTCTTGCACAAGACCGTTTTGCACAAGATCTCTTCCACAGAAAGTTCTTGCACAAGAAACCTGCAGTGCAGACATAGCCTTAGTGTGGTTCACTGTCCCATGGAGTGGCACTTAGACCACTTGCAGTGAGAGAGCAGAGCAAGGGAGCTCTACAGCCTAGTCTGAGAGGCAGCTGGCTTTTGGTGCAAGTGATAGAAAGTGCTCTACTAAGCTCCAGAGATCCCAGGTTCAAATCTGCCTAGTTGATAGTTACATAAACACTGTCTAGATCAGGGCTACTCAACTTTGGAAGCCCCGGAGGCCACAGTGATACGCACAGCACATGCCGAGAGCTGCAACTTCCGTGTGGTTACATAGACATGCAAATAGCTTCTTTCACACTGACAGGCATGAATACAAAGATTAAGGCAAGACTACACCACACGCAGGCCCCATTTAAGTCAGTTCTGCTGCTATTAATAAATGCAATATTTAACTCATTTCCACCCCATAGCAGCACTTTTAATGAGCAATGACAGTCCAGGAATTTAACTACTAAAACGCATCTCAACAGAAGACCATTATACTGACTCCTTTTTTGTTTTGTCTCCCACCCACGGGCCGTGTGTTGAGCCCTGCGGGAGGGGGGGGGGGGGCGCATGTTGAATAGCCCTGGTCTAGATCATCCCTGACAGGTGTCTGTCTAGCCTGCTCTGAAATAGCTCCAGTGATGGAGATACAAATCATTAGCCATCCTGGAAAAGCAGAATTGTGGGAATAAACTCGGGAGCCAAGGCAGACTTTTTTTTTGTCTTAAAATGTCTTTTATGTTTTATCACTTCGTATGAAAGGAAGATTTTGATGGGACCATGGGTCAGGTGATAAAGAGGAACATTGTTTTAATGGGCGTCACCAACCGCAATTTTGAAATTGAAATGCACATTTGTGGTAATGGCTCCTCCATCTGTTCTAACAATCATACATGCAGGTGAAGGCTCTAGTCACTCGGCATCTAGAAGCCAATGGTCATCAGTTAGACGGAGCCGTGCTCACAATACTCGCTCCACACATCTGTGCCATGGAAGATGCTCAGATCCGAGCCCTCCGCAGCGAGGCCATCAGGTACGCTTGTAAATCTAGATAGTGGGGGCAAGTAGGGTCGGTTTCTGACTTTCTCCTTTTAATAGCAGATCGAGAAATCTACATTTAGGGGTTTCTTCTTTGTAGCTCAGGCTGAGGGGGATTGGTTGGTGCAGTACAAATGCTGATAGTCACAAAACAAGCCCCAGAGCGGGCTCACCACCAGCCGTTTGGGGAGAGGGAGAAAGGGAGGGCGTTGTGCAGCCTCTTTGGACTGCTGTGCCCTTAGAACATCCCAGTGAGGCAGGGTAATGCTGTCATCCCCATTATACTGGGCCACTGACTGTCTAAGTGACATGACCAAGGTCATATGGGGGAGTCTGTGGCAACGCTGGGAATTGAACTTAGGCTTCTTAAATGCTGGCTAGCACCCCACACACTAGGCAGGCCTTCATCTCACTGTGTTTTGGTTTCAGCAGGGTGCATTTTACCCAGCTATGCACGCGCCGACTGCTAAAACCTTGGGTAAATACAAAAGGTACATCTCTAAAACGCTTCCTCTCCAGAGAGACCAGTAGGCCCCTGAACACCTCGCTGTGTTCTCAGCAGCAGAAGAATCTCCTCTATGGCCAGCTGAGAGCTGCTTACGAGGAGAACCAGAACGCTCCAGACGCCTACTACCGGCTGCTGAGGCCTGTCATTGGTGAGTCCCGCTGCAGACACTGAAAGAGCTAGATCCGCAGTAACTCCGTGTGCCCTGCACGGAGAGCTGAGCGAGATGCTCCAGCTGGGACCATTGCCCGCAGGGGCCAGGAATTGGGCAGGCACAGCGACACTGCAAAGAAAAGCCCACGGGGTGAGTCTCAGAGCCCGGGGCAATTAACTCCAGTTTCCTGGGCACTGCAGGGCTAAACATAGAGCAGAGATGCTCCCACTCAGGCTGCAGCCCAGCAATGTTCTCTCTATTTTTTCCCATGTGCAGAATAAATGTTGTTACGTGCACCGAGGGAAGTGCAGATGTGCACTACCAATGCTGCCAGCTGTGGGCGTTCTGCTCATAAGCTGGGCAGCACTAAATCTCTCCTGGGTGGGCACCTAAGCGCTCAGCTTACAGGGAACACTGCAGCCTGGGTACCGAGACCCTCTCTCTGGCCTCTTGCTGCCCCCCTGTGGTCATTCTACAGTACTACTGTCCCTCCTATCAAGCTGCCCCTTTCCATTGGATGAGAAACAATCACATTCCAGGCACATCCCATTGTCCCGGCTCAACCAAACTCTCCCCTTGCTTTCAGTGATAATAAAAGGAAACTACATATAGGCTGCCCCCGACTTGCGACACAATCGGCTCCAGGGATAGCATCACAAGTTGGGGGTGTTGTAACTCGAGTCCGCATTTACGACAGGCTTTGTACACCATTGTAAATGCGGGGCCGAGGACATAAATCAGGGGATTTCGGCCCCTTCCGCACTTACAGAAAAGGTTGCAAGTGCAGGGGGTCATAAATCAGGCCGTCGTAAAGCGGGGGCCTCCTGTATCCAATTTGGTGATTCTAGCTCGTTACCGTGTAGGAGGAATTCCTGAGCAAATGGACTCACAGACAGACAGATGCACATTTCTACAATATATAGTAAGAAGCTGTAAAACCAGTGACAGGAGGCTCAAAGCACTGGCGCCTCTTGCTCCTGTCTGCTCTCTGCCTGTTTCACACACTCGTTTAGTCTCCCGAGGGTAGCTGGGTCAGGTGCAGAAGTGGCCGAGTGATGTTTATTTGCCTGGGTTCAGGGATCAGCTTAGAGTATGTCATGGGCCATCTGGCCTGAAACTCTATGACTCTACGGTTCAAAGACACAGAAAGTAATGGGGAGGTTTTGCGGGATCAACCAAACACAGCTTCTGCTTCTCTTCTTTAAAGGCGGAGCCCCAGCCACGGACCTGATCAGATTTGCTTCTGGTTATCCTGTCATGGACGTTGACACATTTACAGCCCTGAATCCCGAGGCAGCGAAGGTGAGTGGCATATTCCATCGTGGCTAGCAATGCATACACCTCCATCCTGCTGCCTCTGCCAGTGCTTTTCCCAAGGTCCCTGCTGATCCTGCAGGTTTTTGGCACGGCTCCCATTGACTGTGATGGAAAAGCAGGGACTGAAATAAGAATCTTTCCTAGATGTCAGGACTGGGGACTAAGTAGGCCACGGCCTCTTTATCAGACGTCGTTACATAGCAACCTAAGGCCCGTCTGGCCCTGTGTCCTGCCTAGCGGGGCCGACACTGTGTGTGAGGGGACTAGGTGTGTGAGGACCTGGCTCCCTGCCCCTAGAAGGGGCGGAGCCTCAGGGCTGAGGACAGCCAGCTCTCAGTGCTCTCACAGCGCTGGGCCCCGTACCCCGAGCCCTACGGTGTGGCAGAGCCGTGCTCCAGAGACAATTCAAAGGAGCACGGGGCGCCGGCCGCTGCTGCAGTAGCCGTACTGCGGGCAAACTCCGGGCCCCTTTGAAACGCTGGGGCCCTGTGCAAATGCCCCGTCGGCAGGCCTGGTCACGTCTCCAACAGAAGGAAGATGTGAGGACTCCATATCAGGCAGTTGTGGAGTCGCCTGGCCCTGACATGAGGTCTCATCCTGCTCTCTAGTAGTTGGAAGCACGACGTTGGATATCCCTTCCAGCTCCTGATGACAGCTCTGGATATTCTCAGCCATAAAAATGTCCAACCCCTTTGGAATCATGCTCACTTCTTGGCTTCTGGGGCATTCTATGGCACGGCGCTCCAGTCTAATTACACTGGGTGTGGGGAAAGTATTTCTTTTCTCTCTCTCCTCAGAAGAAAGGAGATTTTTTTATGCCCTTAATCATTCTCTACACCTCCTAGGGTTAGCCTGGCCTTGTATATTGACATTTTCCATGATCAGCTATCATTTCACTTCACGCATGCTGACTACTGTTATTTCCAATGAGATTCAGTGATATCCTAGGGTAAGCAGCTACTGCAGCTTTTAAGAAGGCTGGGAAAAAATATGCTAAATCATGCCACGAGAATCAGGACGGTGGCCAACCTAGCTCAATTGGTGTCGCTACACATTTAAAATACTTTGCAGAAGGTGCTTCCCGCCTTTTCTTGAGGCTCCTGGCGTGGTGTGGCTCAGTGAGACTGAATGATTCAGTTGTCCTAAAAGTACCATTGGCACCCATAACATTATAGGACGACTATAAGGGAAATGGGTGATCATGTGGTTAAACCACAAGCATGAGTTAACAGGAGTGTTGTGAGCAAGACATGAGAAGTCATTCTTCCGCTCTACTCTGTGCTGGTTAGGCCTCAGTTGGAGTCTTGTGTCCAGTTCTGGGCACCACATTTCAAGAAAGATGTGGAGAAATTGGAGAAGCTCCAGAGAAGAACAACAAAAATTATTCACGATCTAGAAAACATGACCTATGAGGGAAGACTGAAAGAATTGAGTTTGTTTAGTTTAGAAAATAGAAGACTGAGAGGGGACATGATAGCAGTTCTAGGAGGTACTTCCAGTACCTAAAAGGGTGTTACAAGGAAGAGGGAGAAAATTTGTTTTCTTTGACCTCTGCTGATAGGGCAAGGAGTAATGGGCTTAAATTATGGCAAGGGAGATTTAGATTGGACATTAGGAAAGACTTCCTAAATGCCAAGGTGGGTAAGCACTGGAATAAATTGCCTAGGGAGGTTGTGGAATCTCCATCCCTGGAGACATTTAAGAGCAAGTTAGATAAACATCTACCAGGGACGGTCTAGATGGTGCTTGGTCCTGCCATGAGGGCAAGGACTGGACTTGATTACATCTCAAGGTTCTTTTCAGTTCTATTGTTCTATGATTGTATGTATATAGTCCTTGCCAGATTAGACAAGAAACCCATGCAGATCTCATGTCTAAATCTGTTAGCTGCCTTGAGCTGTAGGTACCTTTGTTTGGTTTTAAATTTTAAACCAACAGAACATTTTATTCATTTTGCATGTAAGTGTAGAAATTAACCCACTACGTAGCTCAGCTGTTCTTTGCGCACAGGAAGGACAAAACTGGCTGAACAAAGGGTTGTGGTTTTGGTGCATTGACAGAGCAGTGTGTTTGCACAGGTGTGAAGGAGAAAACAGACTTAATCTGCAGGCCTTAATCTAATCTACATAGCTTCAGCTACTGTGAAGTTGGCAGGGGCTGCTCTCCTGTTGACACCAGCTACTCTTTACATCCTGCTAGTGTTCCGGCATCGATGGAAGAGTGCTCGGAGATTGATTCATCCTGTCTAAGCAGGTGCAATAAATCAACAGCCGGTGGATCAATCATTGCAACATCAATCTCCGACATAGTGGAGTCAAGTCCTAAGAGTAGTCACCCACTCAGGGGGTATGGCAGGTGCTTTGGTAGTGAGGAGCACTGGAATAGAAAGGTATGGCAGGGCACAGGGCAGAAGTGAGATGAGTTAGCAGACCAATAGGTAGGAAGTCCAGAATTAGGTTGGTAGAGGGACACTGGAAGAACTGAGCAAGGATGTAATCAGTCCGCCACTGTAAACTCCATTATGTAAGTTTTCTGTAAGCAGCTTGCAATTATCTCAGACGAATGTACCTATTTTTACTTCTTTTCTGCTGTAGAAATTAAGCACTCAGAATCTGAAAGATTTGCTGGGAGCTAATCTCCCAGAGCTGAACAATTTAGCTGATGACCCCGTGGTGAAAGCTTGGGCCCAGGCACACCGTCAGTCAGAAGTGAATTCTTTAGGACTCCATCTTGTAGCAGGACTCCCAGACCAGCCACCTAATGGTATTATAAACATTCCAGGAGGTAAGCGAATTCATTACAATGAAGTCAAGGATACTGGTGAAATACAGGACTCAAAAAGTTACTCCCTGAGTTGTACCTAATGCTGATAAATAAGTTCACCTTTGATGCAGATGCATATCACAGGCTTACCTTTCATGTAGTTCCACTGTCCTGATCTTGCAGTAGGTTCTGCTCATTGTAGGATCAGGGACTTAAAGAGTAGCGTATTGAAAATACGATAGGAATTGGAGATTGAAAATCCCTATTCGATCACATGTCGTCTATCAGAGTCTAAATGACTCAACAGATGGCTTTCACTCCCATCCTTGGAAATCTATTTTACATCCTAATAGAGCTCACTACAGGTAGAACCTCTCTAATCCAGAACTCTCTGGTCTGGCAACATCTGTGGTCCAACATGATTTTAGGTAGCCAGATGTCCACTTATCATGGGTGTGACCAAGTCTCCCGTAGTCCCATAAAGTTTGTTGACAGCCACTAGTCCTGGCTCTCAGTGTTCTGTGCTGTTATTTGGCTCTAATTTACTCCTAAATGTCATCTAAGAGCCCAGCAAGCAGCGGAAGTGTTGGTCATGCTGCTAACAGGAGCAGCCCGAGGCGGGCTGCGACAGCTGGCGCCCTAGGCGGAAGGCGCAATTGGCGCCCCCGCCTGCACAGCCGTCAATGGCTGTGATGTCATCACGGGGCGCCCCAGCACCCTGTGATGTCATCATCGGGCGCCCAGGATGGCAGCACCCTAGGCAACTGCCTAGTTTGCCTAGGTTCACGGGCCACCCCTATAACTAGACAATATTGACCTCCCGTGATCCAGAAAATCCTGTGGTTTGGAACTGGTCGGATCCCGATGGTGCCAGGCTAGGGAGGTTCAATCTGTATTAGAACGTTTTTTAAATGGTGGTTGTGGGACACATCTCAGGAGGCAGGTTAGTTATATTAAAGTCTTGAATCGAACGGATGTATTGCTTGCAGAGATGCAGCAGAACTGATATGATTTTTAAATTTTTTTTCTTTCAGCAACTCACATACCCGGAAGAGCAACGACCTATGCGAAAAACCAGATGTTCCAGCTTTTCTATTGCGTGCTTTTCTCCTGGGTGTTAACTGCTTTCTAATAGGCTGTATGGCTTTTGGACAAGTATTAAATAATAATAATATTCTGGGAGGCGGGATTCCCATATTTATCATGGCATGGTTACATTTAATTTAGGCAGGTCCTTGTATTCTTAACTGAACAAAATGTCAAAAAGTAGAACATTTAATGGCAGTTTGGCAGCACATTGTTCATTACTCTACATCAGCGGTTTTCCAGCTGTGGGTTGTGACTCCACATTAGGTCATGATCCTGCAGTTAATGGGGTCTCCAGGCCTGGCTTAGATTTGTTGGAGCACAAGCCACACCACCTGGAGCCTGGGGGCTTCAGTCTTGAGAATCTGTGTTCAGGCGACAGGGTTCCTGCCTGGGGTTGAAGTCTGGGCTTTGACTTTGGTCCCTCTGTCCTCCATCCTGGGGCTCTGGTAGCTTCTGGGTTTGGTTCCCCCCTCCTGGGGACATGTAGTAATTTTTGTTGTCAGAAGGGGATCACAGTACCATGAAGTCTGAGAAGTTCTACCCTACAATCCTCACAATCGTACTGCCGGTGGTAAGGTGCTTAAATAAATGCAAAACGTATGGCTGATCCTGCAAACTTCATCAAGACTTTGACAGTGGTAAGCACTACTCATAACAGTGTTTTCAGAATCAGGCCCTACATAATGATAATTAAGTGTTGTTATTCTTCACATGCTAATGACAATAATAAATGTCACTTTCAGCCATTTGTGTTTATCACTTATATTTAGCATCTTTTATCATTTTAAAAACCATTACTTTTTTAAAAAATATATAATTAATGTCAAGACAATGCAAATAGAGGAACATCTGAACAAATACCAGTTGTCTCTCATCATCCATCATGCGAGGTTCTCTGTAGGGGCCCCATCAGTCTTCCTCCACACGCGGCTTAAGAGAGCATGATTTGAAGGGCTTGCAGGCAAAAAGACCCAAGTTTTAAACCTGATTTTTCCTCCAATTCACTGTGTTACCTTGGGAAAATGTTTTATATGGGAATACTGGGGGAGATTAATTGCATGTAGAGCTTTGGACAGAGAAATTGTCATAAATGATAAGTATTATGAAGTCAATAGAAGGCCCTGCCCACCCATGGAAGACTCACAAAATTAAATCGTTTATACAATTTAGCCCCACGAAACATTTCAGCAATGAGCGTAGTGACAATTGTTTATTTAGCCTTAAATGTTCCAGCTGTAGAGCAGCCTTCTCTTGGGAAAGTTCATGTGGACTATGCAAACTTTTGTTGTACTCCCATAGATTTCAAGGGAAAGCTTTCTAGGAATGCTGGGGGTGGGAGGGAAGGGCGGATAACATCCACTAAATAAAAAGGTTCCAAACAAAAGACTAAATCCTGGCAGGCTGCCACTTTTTACAACATCAATGGCTGCTTGGCAGCCTGCGTGTGGCCGCTGCGTGCAAACACATGCCACCAGCTCTGTACTGCAGCTGTACCCCAATAAACGTGCTATGTCAGAGGTGGGCAAAAGCCTTTCAGCGGGCCTGATCCGGCCCGCCTAGGCCTATGATCTGGCCCATGTGGCAGTTCCCAGCCCTGCCCCCTAGCACATTGCCTGGCAGCCATGGGGAAGTCATGAGCCCTTTAAATAGAAGCAATCGGAAGGGGTTTGGCCCCATGCTAGCCCATTGCCTGGGAGCCGCTAGCCCTTTCAACTGCTTCTATTCAAAGGGTTTGCATCTCCCAGGCAGCTGCGAGGCAAGGAGCTGCCAGCCCTGTTATGCGAATTCTAGGCCTCTCCTGCAGACAACTCTGGGAGGAGGCTCGCCCCCAGCACCCTCCCATCTGCTCCCGGCCCCTTCCATTGGCCAGAAGTCAGGGGGCAAGGTCCCCAAGCCAAGCAAAGTTCCTGGTAGGGTCACTCTCCACCCCACCCCTGCTGCCCCAGGTCCTGCTCCTTCCCGGTCAGCCCACCACTGCTTTGGAAATTTCTGAAGTGGGCCCCCCTTCAAAAATGATTGCCCGCCCCTGTGCTACTGCACTGCAGCTCAGCTACACTGGTGGGCGGCCCCTCCACCGCCTGCAGCAGCTGGGGAAAGCCCAGGCCCCAGGCTGCTGCAGGCTGGGCACCAATGACCCAGGACAGGCAGGAGCTCAGAGCTCAGAGCTCAGCCCCAAACCAGCAGGAACTCCTACAGCCACCAGGGGGCTGCCCACCCTCCCCAGGCTCGCGCACAGAGCAGCGAAGCCGCGCACGCGCACACCCTTTCGGGGAAGGGGGGGGAGGAAGCGTGACGTAGACGCCGGCGCATGCGCAGATCTACTCCTTTCGCGACGGTGGGGCTTTCCCCCCAGCCCGTAGCGGCAGCC